TTTAGTGCCTTTAGGCTTTTCGGGGCCTGTCTTAGCCTACAACCGCTTGCCTTTCTTGGGCACAGGGGACAGAAGAGCGGTCTTGCCTGGGGCGACGTCCAGTATGAACTCAGAGGCCTTGTTAGGGCCATCGTGGATCGCTGGGGCGTAAGAAGCCGTAGCCATAATCTCAGTCGGTTTCTCGTGGACGGTGATCGAGGTTATTTGCGTGGCTACCTCCAATGAGCCGCCATCAATAAAGACTCCCATTTTCCTCAGAAATAAATCCACTTCGTGATAAAGAAAGGTGAGGGACAACCACATCTACAGGTTATCCAGTCCGGCCTTGCTCGATGCCTCTCCAGTAGCTACAGGAGGCGTAGATTGAGAGCTACGGCGTAAGGGCCATTGATCCGCATGCTATTGCTAGTGAAAAGTATTGCGTACAGATCAGGGCTCAAATCAGCAAAGGTCTTCTGGTACCAGCAGTAGCAAATATAGCACTGCAAGCCACCAGACTCCTCCGGCACAAGTTTTGAGGAGCTCACACTGCCGCATACAGCATTAGAGGCGCTGATCAACGCAACGGAAGACGCATTAGCGCCGGTATTCAGTGAATCAGAAACGATGCTTTCAACGAGTGTGAAGCAGGTATAAACACGTAAAACCGACAAGCTGTTATTTGCATGGCAGTCAACGACATCAGTAACGGGATAAATAAGGTGCAAAACTGCTACTAAAACATTAAAGTGCCAGAAAGGTAACCGGTGGCTGAAGTCGAAAAAGATGGAGGAGGTTTGGAAGTACCGGAGAACGGGTGCCACATACTCCGGGGAAAACAGTGCTAAAAATTATTTGAATCAAGCACAGTTTGACGGATTCAAATTGTGTTGCACGGCAGTTGTAAACACGGTTCGCAAACTATCCTTTGAAAGCAAAACCTCAAAATGACAGCACATTAAATATTCAATTTACCGCCAATGAGAAAAATGTCTTAGTCGCTTCGCACTTGCTTCAAGCATTGATCGTTATAGAATCAAGGATATTCAATCAAGTCGCGGTGCTAAAGGCTAGCCTTTACTTTCTGTCACGCGATACGAGACACTCGTCAGGCAGAAGTTGGTTGTCCTGTCATGTACCGGCCTGGACGCTCAAGGAACCCTAAACCCAAAACCTGATGCACATTCCGGCCAGCCATTTAATGGCCCCTAAATTAACACGAGCAATCTTTCTGTACCGTTGACGTTAACCACGAATTAATGAGGTAAGCAACTGAAGAAGAATGAAGGGAATTTTGGTTAACAGAGTGGGTTTTACTGGGGGGTATTGGTTCATTGGTTAGTAGAGAGCAGAAGGAAGTTCCTTTGTCAGCTCCGTCACTTCCCGGACATTGCAAAGGTTGAGGGGATCATTGCTGAACAAGGTTCAGCAGAAGATCACTATGGTTGTATTGTAGGCAGCAGAATCCCCGCGCACTCAGAGAGTGGGTATCCAACCGTCGTTTGAAACATTCCTCCGTCTCTGCATCGACGACAGCTTCTGGCAAACTGTTCCAGTCATTCACTACCCGGGTGGATAAGGCTAGATCGGACCGTACACGGAGTCGCCGCGGTTTAAAAAGTTTCCACCGGTGGCCTCGAGTTGCACAACTTGTGTGTAGACAAAAGAACGATTGCAGTTCACTCCCCAGCTCACCTCGTAGAATACGCCAGTTAATTATCATATCTCCGCGGCGACGACGATAATCCAAAGAGAACAGTTTCAACCGTTGTAGCCGGAGGAGTTAGGATAAGTCCCGAAGCTCTGAAACGGATTTGGATCACCGCCGTTGAACCTGCTCGATCATGTCACGTTCGGACTTAGTGAGCGGGTAGGCAGCAGGCAATCCGTACTCGAGAATTGAGCGTACATGAGAAGCAAACAGTAATCTGCAGAGTGCTGGGGTCAGGCGTGAAAAGGCTCTCCGTATAGCTGCTGGACAGCCGAACAACCTTCTCGTGGTGCTAGCTGGGTGGTTCGGGTTTAACCCGTTCTAGCAAATAGTTCGGCGGCAGTGTTCCAGGACGTGGTGGGTTTTCGCCCGGCAAGCGTTCTCCCTATAAAAAGCCACAAATGTCTGCTTATCAACACTGTGACGTGGCGGATGTGACTCGCCACAAAATAAAGTCACTGGCCCGTGGACATCCGGAAAATGGTATCCAACCCACGGACGTCAATCGCTTATTCTCACATTCTTACCGATAACAAACAGTCAAAAATTCTGCGGCACATTCAAAAATACAAGTTACATTCATAGACAATTGCATACATATATACACCCATACACTTACATTCACTGTTATGCCAAACATGTACTATTTGTACATTTTGCTCACACTATGTTAGCTAATATGATCATGCCTGTACTGGTGTGCCTCTCATTGTCGAGAATGAAAGTTTATTTATTTATTTATTTATTCTGTTTGCGGATGCGACCCTTTTTCGGGTGTCCTCGATTGATTTGAGATAAGGAGACAAAATCACCCCTAGTTCCCTCTCTTTGTTGACATTTCTGAGCAGGAAACCCCCGATATGGTAAGCCCCAAAAGGCTCAGGAGCACCGATTGGAAGGATGGCGCATTTGTCATGGTTAATGGGCCATTGTCACTTTAGTGACCAATCGTGGAGCTGATCGAGTGTCGCTTGAAGTATGTCTGCGTCTTCCAGACTGGAAACCTCAATCTACTGCTTCAGATCATCCGCGTAGATTAAGCAGTCGGTCTGCAGTTCGGATGGCAGGTTGTTGATGAAGATATTAAAGAATTCGGAGCCGAGTACAGAACCCCGGGGGGACCCCACTGGTCATGAGAATTTGATCAGAGAGCGCTTCGTTAACTTTGACCTGTATGAAGCGACCTTGTAGGAAATCGGAGACCCATGAAAGAAAATTGCCAATGACGCCGATTCTCGGAGTTTGAAGGGGAGCCGCTCATGTGGGACCTTGTCGAAAGCCTTACTGAAATCGACAAACAGAGCATCCAGAAGCTTACCGGCATCTAAGGGTCTTGCCCATTTTTCCCTAGCTACCAGCAAATTTGTAGCACATGAACGCGCCCTTTAGAAACCAGGTTGGGCATGAGATAGGAACTCCACCTCATCGAGATGTAGGCGAAGGGCCCGTTTCAGCATCCGTTCAATGACTTTGCACAAAATCGAAGTCAAACATATGGGACGATAGCTGGCTGGATTCTGTCGGTTACCTCCTTTATAAATGGGTTTAACCGTTTCCATCTTCCAAGCAGCTGGAAGCCGCCCGACCTCAAGGGAACGACCGAATATTTGACATACAGGAGCGGCAATGTGTCCGGCCACGGTCTTAAGGAACATTGGGTGTAAACCTTTGGGACCGGGCGAGGAATACGGGTCTAGGTCAAGTAGAAGTTTCATTACATCGTCAGTGGAAACCTTCACGTGCTCCAGCAGGAAAGGAGGAGTGGGTGCAACGCTATCTGGGAGTGGCGTTTCGATAGAGTAGACTGACGAATATTGCTGGGCCAAAAGGCTAGCTTTCTCAGCGTCTTCGTAGACTAGGTCCAAATGCTCACAGGGAGACAAGACAGGGACACCACTTCCAACTTTAGTGCTTCGTTTGAGGTATGAGAAGAGCGCCTTGGAGTTTGTACTAGCAAGTGCAGCTAATGACAGTTCGTACTTTTGGCGTTTCTCGCGTTTTTATGTTACAAGCATTCCTGACCGTTTTGTAGTGGCAGTAGTCAAGCTCAACTCGCGTAATTCTGAAACGATCCCACAGTTTACGCCTTCTTTTCATCATTGAACTGAATTCGCGATCGATCCATGGAGGGCCTTTGGAGAAGGGTCTTCTTTTGGAGAAGGGGATGACCTGTTCAATGAGTAACGTCAGGTTGGAGTACAAGTGATGCCACGCTTCGTCAACATTGAGGTGTTCGGGGATACTCCAATCGACCATGCTTGCCGCCGTTTTCAAACGAGTTGTGTCGGCACGCCAGAAATTGCGACGGTCAGCTCGTTGACTGTGAACAGCGAGGCTACGTGACCACTGGAATGAGACAGTACAGTGATCACTGCTGCCAGTGGGCTATAGAACTGAAAGCATCGTGATGTCTGATTGTGTTGGGGAGAGCACGAGATCCAGGATATGCGGCGTCTGATCTGGAGGAAGTTAATCGGAAGATTACGAGAACGGACGTACACCGATCGTCTACTTAGTTTGGGAATGCATTTGATGCACTACTTATGGACTAGAAGAGATCGAATCCTAACCTACGGTATCTTAATTGGGAAGGTTGGTCCAGATTTATGTTGGCTATTCAGTCCCTCTAGATTGTCTGTCCTACGCGGTCATTCCTTGAAGCTGGACAAACCGCGGTCAGATCAGATTAGGGTGGAAATCCGGCTGTCACGCAGAGTTATCGGGCGCTGGAACATGCCCCCAGAAAGTGTTATCAGGGAATATACAGTTAAGGAATTCGAATGGCAACTTGATGCTCTTGGGTGGCAACACGAAACATTTTCATCTTCCTGAGTAACGCGCATCTTAGTAGTTCCATTTTCTTTGCTCTACTTTGCATTGGCATTATTCTCTTATTTCAAATGCACTTCCTTATGCTGTACCTTCGATTTCTCTTCCTAGCCTTGACTTACTTCACGTGACTGCCACGTCAGGGACTGGCTATGGCATTCACTGGTTGCCCAGGGTGCGTTCCATTTTGGATCCTTCAATGACCCTGAGCATTTCATTAATGCTTTGCTCGACGATCCACTCAAGATGGAGTACTTACGGGATTTCCCTATCCTTCTAGTCCCACCAGAACTTGAACTTGAACTTGAACATCGGATAACACTGAGGTTTGTAAAATGTAAAAAAATAAGTTTAAAAGGGATCGGGTCCTGAGTGTTGCATTTCTTGTGGTTGCACATGCACAATTTTTGTGCAATTGTCTACTTAGCAGCACTTAACTTTACTTTGCTGCACTTTTAAAGCTTTGGTAGAAGGTCACTTCAGCGTTTCCTAGGTCGCCTAATTTTTGACCTTGCCTTCTTAGGAGCGGTTTAAGGACGTTTTATGTCGCTGTTCTTGCTTTGGTCGGGATGGAGGCTTCTGATGAAGCATTAGAAGTCGTCTTTAACGCTTTGGATACGGATAACAAGGGATACATCACAACAGATCAGTTCCGATCAACATTTCGTGATTTCTATTCTTCGTCAGGCACAGGACGAAAGATTTCAACTTCGCCCTCAGTAAGCAAGAGTACTTTTAGAGGTTTATCATTAGGACCTTGAAAGGATTGTGGAAACATTAGATCCCGAAAACGATGGGATTATTCATTTTGACGACTTCAAAAAGGCCTTTCACGATAACTTGGGTGAGTTCCACTCTTCCACTAATAATGTCCTGCGAAGATTTTAAGGAAAACGAAGACTCTGCTGACGCTTCATTAACTTCGAAAACCTTTGCGTTTTCACCTAACACGGCTACGAATCATTCAACTTGCTTTTCTGATGGATTGGAAAACAAGGTACCGTTTATACTCGTTGACAAAAGGATAGCAATTACAATTATTGTTGAATAGTTTGTTTTCACCTGCGATTGTCCGTGCTATTTGCCTTACCTGTTCTGATGTTCGGCTGTACGTCACATTTTACTGTGTTTTCGATCTCACACAATTATAAAACAAAAATAGAAATAAAACAATAGGTCTAAGTCTCACTTTAAATGCTCTAACGCATAACGCCATCACAAGCCATTGCTTGAGTTTCTTTCCGTTCTAGTGAAATGGCCTACAAATGTATCAAAACTGCAACAGATATCAAGTTAACTTGGGACACATGTAGTATTTAATTTTTTGTCTTTTTTTACCTTCTGGCCGGAACGGCCATAATTGACGCTTTTATCAACTTCTTTCGGACTAAAAGTTCCGCCATGTGACTAACTTACTAAACTATCGCGACATAGTACTTAATTCGTCGGACACAGTGTCTACGCAGACATTCCATCGCAACGAGACTGGACCTTAGCTTGGTGCAATGCTTTGCGTACCCCGTGACCCATTGAGTTATGCTGAATGGCAATTTCCAAGTGCCTTCAGAGTCACTCATACCAGGCAGGTTAGAGATTAGTGGTCAGAGTAACTCAGTCTCACCGTCAGATTCCTTTAGGAGGTTAGAAAGATGTCGATGGTCCACCTCCTTTAAAACCTAGCCATGGGAGACAACAGGTCTACGAGTTATAAGCTCACGGTGGGAGAGCACCTTCGTGTACTCAATGGTATGCTACCGCCCGCTTCAAGCCATGCAGCCCCTAGCCAAATTGGTACAAACTCTCCAACCCCCACCTGTTGCTGGCCGTGCTCGCAGGTGCGCAACCTAATTTAGTCGTAGAACATATGTGCATTGTTCTAAATCTTCAAAGGCTGTGTGTGACAGGCCTTAAGCAGACCCCAAACTGTCTCTGCAATGACACTCCCTAGCTGGACTCACTCCCCACCACTTTGTAGGTCAAGCTCTTGAGCCAAAGGCTTTGGGTGGAGTCCGTCAAGTGAACCTCCAAATTTTCCACTGCCTTGCAGGTCAGGCTATTCAACAGCGGACAACGAACAATGGGTTTTGCCGGGTAAAAAGACAGTTGCTTGACAAGTCTCGCAGGATGGCGGGGTAAAACTACAATATCAAAATATATGTGAGTTGGCTGTTTGAGCATTCATCTAGCAGATACGCCGCTGAATATTAGTAGTGTAAGTGGAAATTCAATATGAACGACGAGGCAATAAGGGGACAGTCGCAGTTGTTGCACCCCGTAAGGTGAACTGATAAGATTCACTTCTATACTGCCGTCCTAAGGTTTATGTGGGATATTAATCCGGTGTAAAGGGTTAATTATTATATTCAAAAGCAGCACGGTTTGGCTAACGAGGGAATTGGAGCCAAGGGCCAGATTTAATCGTTTTTGAAAACATTCAGGGTGGGGAGAAACAATTATTTTAGCAGAGTTCCAGGGTTGGCCAACTCGAAAAGTTAAAGGCTCCGGGTTCAGTCTCCCAAGTGAACTACCATGTACCCCACTGCCTTGTGGATCAGACTGTTGAGTCAAAGGCTAGAGGCAGGGCACCTCGAACAAAACCCTTATCTCAGAATGGGCAGCCGGAGAGTAGCAGCTGCCTTCTCGACCACGTCGACAATACTCCCTTTCTTCTTCTTCTTCTTCCTACTACTACTTCTACTTCTACTACTTCATGTTTTTCTCTTATATTTGAAGGATGTTTGTGAGTAACGTAAGTATCGTAGAAGGCAGAAGTCACGATTAAACTCCACAAGAAAATCTGCCTCGACGGGGAATCGATCCCGGTCCACGAATTTCCGGTCCGCTGCTCTACCACTGAGCTACCGAGGGCTGGCGATTAGGTGCGGAATTTAACAAGTGACTTCTGCTTAGTGCGCGACGTATTGCCAATGAGCTCACAGTAACTGTCCTGGCGTTGCAGATCGGCTCACTCACTCGTCACTTCCCAGTGAACCGAAGTAACTGTCCATCCGAAGTCCAAAGGGCGATGGTAGATTATTTGAAGGATGTTTGTGAGTAACGTAAGTATCGTAGAAGGCCTCTCCCCCGAATATTGTGGAAGTGACTGTCAATGACTTCTTAGCTGCTGCCATCAATACATGCAGTTCTTCCATTAAACCTACTTTCCTTCGCATTGGTTCCTTTAACCTCCGCACTTTAGATCAGATCGGCCAACAGGCAGCAGTGACTCTTACTCTTCACTATTTTGGCATTGCTATGTGTTGTGTCTCTAAATCACGCATACAAGATAACAGCGTTGTGGTGACTTTTTGACTCCCTGGTTCTGAACATGACAACCATGACTACACTCTTCGTGTCTCTGGCGATACCGAGTCAATGGCTAAAGGTATTTACGATCTTGGTGTTGTCCTCAGCAAACATGCTGAAGGCAATCTGATCGACTGGATGCAGGTAAGCAGCCGCATGTGCGCGATTTGACTTCGAACTACCAGTAGAGTTAATAAGCAGTGCCTGAAGCCAAGGTGTCTTCATCGCCTTAGTTTGTGCCCCTACTAAATGCAGTTCAGAGTGCATCAAAGACGATTTCAATCAACTGCGCTCATCTCTACTTCGCATGGCGAATACTATTGACCTCGTGATTGTTACTGATGACATGCATGTCCAAGCGGCTCTTCTTTCAGATTCTGAACAGATCCTTGGTGGGCGCTTTTGAGTGTATGCACGCCGAACTGAAAATGATGAGCGATTCTTGCAACTGCGCCGACCACAACCTTTACCTCAGCAGCACTGCTATCCAGCAAAATTGTTCACATCGCGTCACTTGGCATGCACCGAATCGCTCCATACACTGCACCCAAATTGACCAGAATTCCATCAGCTACAGATGACACATATCAGTACAAGACCGTCAGTCCATTTTGAGTACATATCTGGATGTCGACTTTGCTTTTGTATGCGCACGCGTGCCGCTCACTCCTCCCGCTTTAAAGAAGCGTCTTTTTTAACCTTCTTACTTGCTAATTAAACTCACAATCCTGCAGTTCAACGATATCACTACGATATCACCACTTATCCTCAGTGATGAATGAGGTTGGTGAGCCGAACGCCGACTAGAATTGTCGCAAACATCCAGGATATTTGCTGTGCACCCAACTTGAGATCTCATAACTAAGAGTGGACCTCTGGGACATCGATTAGTTTGATCAAGGCGATGAGACAATGGGCACTGAGTTTCAGCTTGCCCATAACTCTCTGAAACGACGCATCACAAAGGGTCTTCGTTTCGACCAGGAACTTTTCTGGATCGCGGTGGCCCGTGAGATGGAGAAAACCAGTGTTATTGGGAACAGCCGAGTGCTATTCCAGCTCAACCGAAGACAGGTCCGAGAAAGCCATCCGTTAGTGAGACAATAGCTGAGAAAAGCGGGTAACTTATTCATTCTCAGCGTCGTCGACTAGTCCGTTTTGCAGATTTTGAAGAACAGTCAAGCAGGCCTGCTGTGACATTGATGCTTTCTGAATCACCCGAGCGTTCATGGAAAACAGATGTGATACCTTCCACTTTGGTAGAGGTTCGCCACCAGCTTTCAGTGTTGAAACGAAACAAGGCTCTTGGATCGGACGACCTTTCTCCATCTTTGCTGAAAGATGGTGGTGACCGTTTGTTGACGGGACTGTTTAATACGATTTTGAGCGGTGAAGAGGTTCCTTCAGACTGGCGACTCAACTGTCGTGCGCATCTTCAAGATGGCTCAGCGTGCTTTGTGTGAGAATCCTCGAGGAATTAATACTGTTTCCATTGTATCCTAACTCCAGAGTAACAATCTCCGATAAATTCCTAGCCCACATGAGAACCGAATCACGGAAAGCCAGGCTGGCTTCTGCCCTGTTCGCTTTTGTATCGACCACATATTAACACTTCGCCAAGTGTTGCAGCAGAGACACATACAGAGGGCTGACAATGGTGGTTTTCCTCGACTTGAAAGCAGCCTTCGACTCAGTTGATCGCGCCAACTCGTGGCACCGCCTATCCATGAAGGGTGTGCTGGCTAAATTCTTTTCCATCCTTAAGCCAGTTTACCGTGACTCTCGAGACCATGTAAGGGACTACAGGAAACTGTCTCCTGTGTTCCCCACGACAAGTGGGGTTCGCTAGGGTTGTCTTATGTCTCACTTATCTTTGCACGATAGCCAGCTGTTTGTGACGGTATGTTGTCTACACAATGTGTAGGCGCCTTGACCCTGAATGTTTGCTTAGGGCACTAAGGTTTTCAAGTAAGTCCCCCTTCTCTCCCTCTTCTTATTCCTAATTTTATTGATCATAATGGTTGTATGACAGCGAAGCATCAGTTCAACTGGCTAATGTACTGCTGTTGATGATGATGATGAGGATGATGATGATGATATATCTCCCTTCCTCTTCGACTTTGTTAGCAAAATGATCCTACGCACCTCCGTTCTTTTAGACTCTAACGGAGTGGAAGTTATACCGGGTGACCGACTGACAAAGCTGGAGTATGCGGACGACATAGGCCTTCTTGGGTACGACGCAGTGCATTGTTTGCTGGATCTTTATCACTTACGTTCGCTTGTACATGCTCTACATATGCCCGTTGATTGGCTTTCTCGGTGTGCATTAAACGAAATGGCTGCACCAAGTTTGGTGAAAATGCTAGTTGACTAGGCCACGACGGAGCATAGAGACATGAACAAATTGTCTGAGAGCCTTGGTCAGGCTGGGAGCCTCGGGATAGTCCAAACCAATAAATAGAGACGGTACCTGACATGATGCAACCACGTAACTAGTGGCGCGCTTGCTTTTGCTTTCTTGCACCTGGTTGTTCATTTTTGATCCATTCTGGTTAGTTTAAAGCACTTCTTTCTTGCTTCCATTTTCTTCACATCATAATTGCTTTTAGCTCCACTATCTTGCCGTAGTTATTTCGTTACTCTTGTGATGTGAATCGTGGCAACTAGATCTACTACACTTCTGTGTTC